TGATCATATATAGGAGATGATCATTGGGGGTGTCATTTTTACCGAAAGTTGATCTAAACCCCTAAAACATGTAAAATTACGCTGGACACCTTAGTTTAGGTCCAAATGTAGCCGTAACAAATGTCCAGGTCCCTGTGATGTAGACGAATCAAACTCACAATGGACATGCTGAAACATCAGTAATATACATTCAATTTAAGCAGTTGTGTATTGTCTCAAGTAGGCAACTACAGTCAATACACAAGGTGGAATTTCCATTTCGTCAAGTTATAGTTTGTTTCCATATTGAAAGTCGTACATTTATATTAAATACACTATGTGTTAATGTTTGTTATAAAAGACTGTAATGACGTGATGTCTGCTGCAGCTGGACGTGGCGTAGCGGTACCCGTCCGGTTGGCAGACTCCCCTAGGGACGGGGAGGGACGGGTGGAGCTGTTCCACGACGGCGTGTGGGGTACTGTCTGTGACGTGTTATTCGGTGTTGCTGAGGCCAAACTCGTCTGTGAGGTACTCGGGTACAGGTAAACATGTTAGCCAATCGTTAGAGTTAACAATGTTAAATACACGACGTTAGAGATCACACAGATGGTCCATCAAAACGCACTGGCAGCGGCAATTCAACGCACTGGAAGCGGCAAATATGGGCGAAAAGGGCATTACGGAGAGACATATAATTGTTTTTTACTGGGAAATGTCTCAATGGGTCAACTGTAAGAATAGTCACAGCACAGGTTCTAGCCTCGTCTGTCAATACACCTATACGATTATTATATTATAGATGTATTGATAGACGAGGCTAGTACCTGTGGTCACAGGCAACATGTGTTGAATTTAGATTTCCATATATGTATGTATTTCAAGCGTCAACATTTATTCATCATAGGTATAAAACCGGTTTCTATTTTGCAAACTAGCTAAGTCATGACAGCCAAATGTACGTAATATTATTAAATTTAGGATATGATGTCATTGATTTTATCTTACAAGTGAATTACATGGGTTGTATCTATTATTTACTATTTAGGTAGCGAATAGCGAACTGTTCCCCGATTAGGAACAACAGGTTGGACATCAAGTGTTCATTATATTTTTTTTCAAATAAAAAAATCTAAAATATTATAATGACACCTGGTCAAGGAAATTTTATATGACAACCTGAATTTTACAATGTGAATGTGTATGCTATGTTTGTCTACACTAAAATGTCTATTTACGTTACACTGTTACATTTCCTCGCCCCGATTGCAGTGCCTTTCATCAGAGCTAGCAATCTCTACCCAGAGTTGTCGTTCCTTTTCAATCACACACACAATCTCTACACAGAGTTGTCCTTCCTGTTCCCGATCGTCCTCATTCCGTGTTACCTAAAGCGACCTTAGATAACTGGATAGCAGAAATAGGGCACGATAACTAACACGTTTATAGAACGTTTAACACATTTTTTACATGTAAATATTATACAATGCACTTGCCTGTCTTATTGAAAACCAATTCGGAACACCTCGACCGATTCGGTAATCTAACTCTGCATTTTCAAAGCTAAATAACCACATTTATATTACTACGCTGAATATTACGCTTAAAATATAGTGTAGTATATATTCACGCATTACTACTTGAAAAAAGTCGTTTCAAAAGTGATATAGCCAAGAAAATATTTTAAAAATGAAAAAAGAAGTCACTGAAGATGAAATTATCACGATTTGAGACCAAATTTGGTTTTACAAGAATCTTGTAAAATCTGAGACGTTGACAGAGGCGTGTGTGATTGAAAAGGAACGACAACTCTGGGTGTTAGATTAGCGAATCGGTCGAGTTGTTCCGAATGGGTTTTCAATAAGACAGACATGTGCATTATATAATATGTACATGTAAACATTACGTTAAACGTTCTATACACGTGGTAGTTAACGTGTCATATTTCTGCTATCCAGTTATCTAAGGTCGCTTTAGGTAACACGGAATGAGGACAATCGGGAACCTTCGGCACTTTCTGTAAACAATTCCCGATTGGGAATGAGGAGATTATAACACTCGTCACATCTCAGCAGAGTCTGTACCTAGTTGCGGGAACCGTAGCTTCTATGTACGATTTTTTTTATTTATTTTTATTTTATTGTTATCGGACCATAGGCTATGGCCATAGTCTATGGTCCGATAACAATTAAAAAAAAATCAAAAAAATCGGACATAGTAGCTATACGGTTCCCGCAGCTAATTCCGTACCCACATCATATTTGATGAAGGGTACCGGAATCGGCCGAGGTTAGCCGAATGGAGATTATTATTGTTGCTCTACGTACGTTTGTTTCATTAAATGCGATTTTGTAAAACAAAGCACGTCAAAGTGACGCGATATTTATCACGTGAGAGCACAGGGACCTAAGAATTTGTTACATTTGGACAGAGACTGAGATGTTCTGAGTAATTTTACGCGTGTTATGGATTTAAATTAAGTTTCGATAAACAAAATGCCAACCCCAATGATCAGGTCCCTGTGTGTGAGAGATGCACTTCAAGCAGATATTTACTGTCTAACATATACTCCATCTAATTTCATTATATTTATAATTATTGTTCGATATTTTATTCATTTATTTATTTATATTTATTTATTCATTTATTAATTATACCATATACTTTTGGATGTAACTAGCTTGCTGTTTTCCATCTTATATTAAGTTATGGCGGTCTTCTCCAGCCAAAAATGACGTACGGGTTTGGGCGTGGCCCTATCATGGTCGACCTTGACTGCCCGTGGGATGCCACTAATCTCGGCCAATGCAGTCAAACAGGATGGAGTCAAAACCCACCGAGTGTTTGTAATCACGACGCGGATGTGGGCGTGGCCTGTAGGACATCTCCATCCGAAGGTAACTTAATGTTGGCATGTAGGCCTCAGACCACAATTAATTTCCCTATATGTTTTTTTCCATCGAATATTTTTTTTCGAAAATGTTATATATAGTTTTGCTCGAGACCTCATCTTTAAAGGTTTTGTTCAGTTATCCAAGACACATTTGTGGTGAGCTGGAAAAGTATTCATGACCGGCATTTTTTTAAGATAATTTTAATTATTTCAACATACTCAGTAACCCCGTTGTACAATGATAGGACTTTGAAATTCATTCTCATGGGGCCAAAAACATACCGTATCATTAAGCCAAAATCTATTTCACACAAATTAATCAACCACGTTAATAAAAGGGTAAAATATCATGCTTCATTTTGGTATGACATATAATTTCATTTCATTCACATAAAAGAAATAAAAACTCGTTTAAAAACGAGCCTAACATTGAGAAATGCACTAGATTTGTACAACNCGTAGTAACGCTTTATTTAGTTATTTTTAACAGCAAATTAAGTCTTGACAACAATGAAATTGATGACGTCACAATAGAGATTGATGACGGTACAATAGCAAATGTTGTTATTGTCTCATAACAACATTTGCCTTCTCAATGCATTGCAATGGAAGGATGCAGAGCAAATGTAAATATAAACAAATGGATATAATGAAAAAGAAATTCCCTTTAAAGAAGGACATTTCATGAAACTTGGAGGAGGGGGGGGGGGCTATATTTGCAAATATCAGTTGTCAATCATGACACAGGTAACACCAGAGGAGACAGAGGAGACATCTGTCCTAGCATGGATCTATCGGCACCAAAGATGGTCGCTAAACATAACGGGATTCTTTCTGCTCCTCATTTGGGTATTTCAACACACATATACGGTGTCATTAATGGCGAGCAGAATATCCACCATACCGTCCCAGCAACCACTCGCTTACACGATAACTTACCTTGTTCAACATGCGTTCGACATCATTCTGCTTTTCACAACAATGTCTCAATAAGTGCATTGCTTATAATTTAGAGGGGCATATAAGGCCGCACTTCAAAGCGCTTAGCATTTGAGAGAATATGGGAAGGGTTACTTCCCATAGCAAATATTTGCTTCCTGAAAGTCCGTAAAAGCTTTATCTCCAGGGTTTGGATGTCAGTTTCAAAGCCAAACACATGTTGTTGTTGTTTTTTAATCTTCTCTTATATCAATTTCCCCCTAACAATACCGGTATCATGAACCCTGTTTTGAATAATGTAATTCTTGTCATCAGAACTATACATGACGGTCGGTTTTTTTTATTGAAATATACATATAACACAAATCTGTACCATAAAACACAATCGTACAACATTTCTATTATTTTTACCTTTTGAAGTAGTCACAATGACCCATCCTAGTTTGATAAGTGTGGAATGGCTCAAGGACAGAGTGGCCAGTGGCGATCTCGGTCAAGTGGTCATCCTTGACGTATCCTGGTCAAGCAGCAAAGACATGAGAGAGCACTATAACGCGTAAGTAGCTGTCTATATAGTACACATATGCTACTGAAAATAATTTATTTTCGTGAGGTTAAAATTTCGTGGTTTTCATATACTAGCTTTTTTCAAGGACATCATATTTCGCTGATTTCTGATTTCCCCCGATCTATATCATGTTTTCGTTGGGATATAATTTCGTGGATTTTTGTTATCCACGAAATAAACGAAATTTAATGTCCCACGAAAATTTATGATTTTACAGTATCATTTATTAAAAACATTTTTGTTGCCCCAGATAATATAAAGACGATTATCATCATGTTGCTTTTTCTATGTCTTGGTTGTCCATTATTCAATGCAAACTACCTACTCATTCAGTATATGCATCAATCACTTAGTCTTTTAATTGCGTAATTAATCAGTCAATCAATTGACTGGAATTAATGAATTAATGAGTCAACCTATTCAATTAATCTTTCAATCACATAAACGACAACCAATTAACCGTAATCAAAAACACATTAAATTAAATTTACAAATCAATTAGTTATAAGATCAATCAATCAATCGATATATCGATCGATCAGAAAAAAATGAACCGCTCACTCACACAACATTTGTCCGCAGAGAGCACGTGCCTGGGGCGGTGTACCTAAGCACCATGGAGGGTAAACACACTGATATGTTTCCCCGTAACATTCCTGACGCCGACGCGTTTCAGGAGAGCGTCAGGGCGGCAGGCGTCGACGCGGACTCCCATGTGATCGTCTACAGCGACTCGGACGCATGCGGGTTCTTCCTGTCAGGACGCGCATGGTGGACTTTTAAGGCAAGTATGAAGATTGTTTTAATTTTTGGTGAAATCTTGTTACAATCCTGAGTCAAAATCAAATGAAAGTTTGTCATAGTATGGAGTCAGGTTAAAGTGACATATTATATTCTCGAGCCAAAATATCAAGTGAAATCTTGCTGTAATCCAGAGTCATTTTGAAGTGAACTCTGTTAAAACCTGGAAGCAGGGTAAAGCGACATCTTATTATCATCCGAAGTCAGTGTTAAGTAAAATCGGTTAATAATGCATGTACAATGTACTGAAATAAAAAAAAAATGTCTTAGACAAATAAACAAACTTTCAAAACATAAGCTAGTTCATTTTGAATTTCAATGTTAACACCGATATATTCATTGCACAGACGTTAAACCGAAGATCAACCCGGCGTAGGAATATTAACGCAATTTTCATTCAAGCTATCTTTAACATATTAAGAATAGAATTTCCCTGTTAACTTGCATTTCTTTATTTAGTTTTTTTCTTTCTATTCTATAGTTTAACGTTCATTTTTTCAGGTGTTTGGACATAAAGACGTATCCATTCTTGATGGCGGTTGGCAGAAATGGAAGGCTGCTGGTGGTCAGGTGACTAGTGACGTGTCCACTCCGAAGGTATATATATATACATGCATTGATGAAGCCACACAATGTTACAGTTCTATGATAGCAATTGGCGTCATGAAATATGTTTAAGGATTGATTAGCTGTTATGATAAAGTTCCGTTGGTTATAGGTTGGGTTTTTGGTTTTTTGAAAGAAAAATCTTACAGATTCATTGTTGAAAATGCCTCAAACCCAGTTTAATTCCACACGTCATTAATTTAACCATGATATAACTAAACTATTACATTTTCATAAAACATGTTTAAAATTGTGTACAATTCCAAATAATTGACCGAAAATCTACTAAAAACAAGCCGAAGTTAGCCTGCTGGAATTCTGGAATGTGGTATCATTTCTATTGTTTTGTGCTCATGTCGCCAAAGGTAGCCTCTACTCAAGTCCACGGGCAGATACAACAGGTCACATTTGGAAGCTTCAGTGAGTCTAAAATGAGAAGAAAAAAATAAAGGTTAAATGGTTGTGTTTGTTAATTTCATGACTTGATGAAGGGAAACGTTCATCGGCAAACTAGGTTACATGCGAACCACTCCATGTACAATTTGTTCAAGGTTCAATTCCCTTTATTACAATCAACTAAATATTCATTTAAAATCTTACTTTTTATGATAATGGGTGTAGCATCACTTTATTTCCATATTTTTATTTCGTTTCCTTCCTTGTAAAATCTCTTGTTTCAAACAGTAAGAAAATATCGTTTTCACAAACAAAAAAAAGGAATGGAATTGGCGTGTGGCTTCCGACGTAAAAGGTGTGACGTCACAAAAGTAATACCGCCACGTGACCTATTCCGTCTTTGCGTATTGCAGAGTTATCTTCTCTTGGGAGCAGGTATTGATTGTTANAAAGGTGTGACGGCACAAAAGTAATACCGTCACGTGACCTATTATTGAACCAAGCGAAGAATTTCAGCATCATAGTCCGAATCAACTGATACTTTCAATGATTCGTCATAATAATTATGTCCTGTCAGAAGAAATATTAATGACTTAATAAAAAAAAGTTGTCAATTTAAATCTTGACTAAATTAGGAAACATTTTTATAAAAGCCTCCATCAACGAGCAGTGTTTCACTTGCTTTGGTGATTTATTTCTGGTACCTCTCAGAATGTAAGTGCTGACAAAATCGACCTCTTTTGTCACTCAACCGTATCTTTGATATGGATAAGTACGAAACAGGAAACATCGACAGTGTCACTTATCTTTCTTACATGAGAACGTGAGCCGATAGTGTATGCAGGGGCGTTTCTAGGATATTTGAAAGAGGGGGCGTAGAATCAAATCTTTCGCCGAGCAGAGCGAGGTGAAAAAAACTATTGGACCTTTTTTTGCTAAAAAAACATAAAATAATTGTGAAATGCACTAATGTAACGGTTCCTGACTTGGAGCATATAAAAAGAAATCAGAGTATGTGTTTAATTAATGAATATGATAAATTGCCATATTCAATACAATATTACGCCCATTACGCCCTCACCTGGACCCGCCCCTGGTATGTTCTGTAGTGTGAAGTTAATACCGCGGGTTACCTCTCCATGCCGTCTAACAGCAGCCTTGAATCGAAGTGAATATCTCTCTTGACAACATGAAACCAAAAATGCCTCCACCTAAAAATGAAACAAAATAAAACCGACTTGTGTTGCTTGAGAAAATGTTTTTAAAACCCACCAGAAACAAATACGCAGCACTAGCAGAGAGTATCGTGTATGGTTCATATATCACAACCAGTGACGTGTTTCGATGTACAATGTGTATTCTTTCATCAGACAATTGACCAGTATATTGTACACGTATGTGTTAATAATATAACCGACATAATTATATCAATTTGGGTATGATTTGTTTATGTATGGACTCATCCTCGTCTTGATTCAGAACTTGCCCGATGTGGACAGGTTGCTGTTTCTGTCCACCATTCCAGAATTATCCCGGTCATTTGCACGTTATTTTCTTCTTTGTCGTATGGTCTGTGATTGCCTTTTTTCTTATCTGGGACTTCGACTGTTTTCTTCTGTCGTCACAGATTTTGTGCAACTATTCTATGATGTCGTTTTTCGATGTTCCTTACTTTCACACTATTTACCTTCTTATGATTATTTTTCTCCCACATCCAGTACCAGTAGTGGTAATTTCATGAAATACAAATGTTGATATTAGAATTTCCAGCAAATCGGAGTTATCTTACGTGATCCTGCTATTGTTGACATGACGTCATACACTTGTTATGACAACCCCGGGGATCACCCCGTCTTTACCTTAGCGTACATGTAAGTCAGAAATATCTTTCTCTGACCGGAAGTGTGGATATCTTTGTCTAATTGGGGAGAAAAATAGTCGTCTATTGTTTCTCCGTTGAGTAACGTACGTCGTATTAAACAAAACTTTCTCGAATTTACTTGTCTATTAAGAAGTCACCGCGTACTTACGCTTTTATTGTTCATTTGTTTGATGAAGTTGACACATCGTACACGCTATCGAAAAGTCAAAAATAAATCTTAACATTGAATCTGCAATATGAACATGTAAACAATGCATGTTTACCAACCTGAAAAAAGATTGTTTGGAAATTATCTGAAAGCGTTGTCTATCGAAAACCTGATGTAACTATTGGATGTAAATCTTGGTTAGCAGGAGAATATAGTAATGGAAACTATTTCCAGATCGGTTCCAATCAAATGTGTATTTCGAAAAGACTGAATACAAATTTTGGAGGGGTTACTCATTTCGATTCCTGATAGCATCGAGACGTGGTGGAAACCAGTGATCTGGTCTAGTGCGACCACCGATAGTCAACTAGATATCAGGCACTGTTCTTAAAAAATCTAAGTGATACAGCTTCCTTACTTCGGCAGACGATCTGTTGTGGGGCTTTAAAACATGCAAATGCCACGGACACTAGTCCATAGTGGACTGCAATATATTTGTTTTCTGTTTTTGTATGCTGATGAGAAGTTTTCATTTTTCCAATCTGATGGGTTTTATATTTTGTGTTTAAACTTGATCTTAAGTTGATCTTGATGAAGGGAGATAACTATCTTTTTAAATAAAAAACGTACTACAGCGTGCAGCACATTTTGAAAAATTAATAACAACAGATCGCTGTATTATAATGCTTCATGACCTAAAATGGAATAACTCTCCGAGAAAAGGTGTTAAAAGTTCGAATGTTGTTGAATCTATAAATTTTGTGAGATATGTTTAAGCGTATATCGCAAGATAAAATGATCGTAATTATTTGCGAAATAGACACACGAAAATTCGTTTATCACTTCAATTCTCGTTTACGGAGATATTGACGAAACAGATTACCGATATATGTTTAATCAGCCTCATAGTAGCTACACGTGACTATGCCTAACATTTGTCATTTGTATGAGATAAAGCTGGTTGATCAAACTGTAATGATCTGGTGACATCTAAATCAGTTGTGAAGTTCAGCTATGCTTTATTAGAAGTCTTATCTCTATAACTCTTGCACTATTTGCAAATTAACGCTGAGCGGGTTTTTTTCTACATTTTCAGAAAGGGAATTTTATCTGTAAGCCAGATGATGGTGTAAGATTGACGTACGAGACGATGGAGGTAAACATGAAGGAATCGGCCAGACAGGTGTGTGACAGTCGGCCATCAGTCAAATACTCCGGCGAAGGTACGTATGACTGGTCACCTCAGACTGACCCTTCCGGTGTCCGGAGGGCCTTATGGTTATTTACAGCGCCTATACATACTATTGCCTTATATTTCTCTAACTTACACACTCGCCCTTCCGGTGTTAGGGGGCTTTATTTGTGCCTGTACAAATCAAATATAATTCAACATTTCTCCTGACCTACAGATTGACCAGTGATCTAGCGCCCAATGTTCAAAGTATGGTTAGCTTAAAGACATCTTGACGCAAAGCTTTAATATGGTATATGTTAATTAAAATATGAAATCTAAAACTAAAACTGTAAAATTTTCGAATTATTATCGACAAATAACACAGATAACAAAATGAACATATTGATATGTTTGAAGATACTTCTCAGAAAAAGCTCCCAGAAATCGGACTTTATTAACTTACTTTATTTTATTTATTATTCGTCTCGTTAAACTAATCAGAACTTGAACTAGACCGAAAAGCCATATTATACATAACTTCACATGTACAGTTTCAATATAGTAATTTGTTCTCCCTTTCTTTAATGATAATTTCATGACAATAAAGCCACGACACATATAGACGAGACTGGGAGATATGGATCGGATATTAGTGAAATGTTTCATTTCATTAATAATAATGAGTTTTTTTGATTAATTGATATTAGCGAATTAATATTACCATGATATTCTATCATTTAGTACGGTCATCCTTCAGCTGCCATCTTGAAACTTTGTTGACATTGTTATTGTAACGTATAACGGAATGGGCTTTGTATAAGTTGTATATAACTTGTGCTCAATCCCGTGACTATTTTAAGGCAATAAAAAAAGTTTAAATCAAATGCACTTCCGATTATTTTTTTTAGACTTAATGTCTTTTCCAGAATACTTTCTGATGTTACTTTTGTCAAATTCATACTAGAAACTATAGACGCTCTGGGCCGTTAAGGTAATAGGATTGTGTCGCCATTTCTCAGTAGAATTTCTACAAGTTTTGTAGTTATATTGCTTTGAAGGGGAAAAAAAATCGGCTACAAAAAAATATAGGTTGTTATAATTTTAAGGAATTTAAATCGAAATTTATGTAAAAAGCAGTGACTTTTTTTTTTTTTCTTCAAAATAATGTCAATAAAAATGATACTACCATAGATTAGTATTGCATTAATGTATATCAATTTAATAAATGCTGAAATTATGTCAAATAAATTATCTATAAACGATTAAAAATTGACATTTTATAATAAAACCATATGCACTTAGTAATTGCAGGTAAGAGTTATCTTCCATGAAAAACAGCAGTGAAATAGGTAGCCGGTTTCCTGAAGTACAGAAAAATGGATACATGTAGCTCATTGACAAAAAAAAACCCACCTGAATTAATGCCTGCATTGCTTTGAAATACTTTAATATTGAGAGAAAACACTGTTCTGTCAATAATAAACATACATTATTCATCAGTTAAATATTAAACATTAGAATATGCGGAAATTGTGATACTGTCTCCCTACATTGGATTTTCTTCCTACTTCCGTTTATCAATACACTCCTATGACCTTAAATCACCTAAGGATCTTCGGGGCTAGCTCTGGGTCTTGATCACAGAAAGGTGCGCGTGGTTATTCTTGCTCCATAATAGCACTCCATATCAAAATACTGTAAACGTGGTTATTTACGCGGGGTGAAAATTACGCGATTTGAAGGTCAAAACTATACGCGCGGGGGTAATTTACGCGGCCGCGGTACGACGTTTATATTCTGCAGAGTTATCTCCCTTACTTTACAAAATATGTACAGGTAAACATACTAGTAGCTACTGATCAGTACATGTTACGTTTGCATACCGACTGCTCATTGGACAGATGGAATTAAAGGTGAAGTGTATTCATGCGTATGTATATGTGAGTGCTATTTAGTCAAAGCAAACACGAATGATATAACCATACACGATTCGTAAGTTATCGTAACTCATCGAGCGCAGTTAATGTCGCTTCCATGATGACAGGGGCATTTACCTGTGTACCTCGTTGCACACGACTACTAGCTGTTTGTGTACACGTGTATCACATTATCGAAGGACATTTTTTATCTGTTTGAAAAAAATCATGCCCCAAAAATGCCATTCTCGTGATATTCCTAGATCCTCATGAATCATACAATATCTACAATATGACTTCTTAGATATGATGTATTAATTACGAAAATGAAAATGTTACTCTGTTGCAGATAGCACGGGACACATAAAGGGAGCCAAAAATCTACCTATGTCCGAACTAGTCAACCCTCAAACGGGGACTCTTAAAGATCTGGACCAGATCAAAAAAGGTAGCAGACCTTGGCCATAGGAATGTTGCTTGCGTGTATTGATAATGTATATTGTTTGAGCTTGAGTCATCCCTACCTTGTCTGGACGTCACCAGCTGGTCTCCTCTTGAAAACTTCGATTCACTAATTGGAAATTCTTTTAAATAGCTTATAGTGTTTTCAATGTAATAAGTTGCCATACTTAGTAACAATTTCATATTTGTTTTGATGTAAACTGATTAAGAATGGTTTAAAAGGGATTTAATCACTGTTGAGTGCGAAGTAAGATTTTGTGTTCCATATCATTTTTTGTTACACAAGGACTATGAATCGATGATGTCAATATTCATGATGTTATTCCAGAATTTAGCGCAGCTGGAGTAGATCTGTCCAAACCCCTTGCCTGCTACTGCAATAGTGGCATGTCATCGTGCACTTTGGCCTTCACGGCGGCTCTTTGTGGCAATGAAAATGTATCTGTGTACCACGTAAGTATATCTAAATGTAATATTTTCTTATTTACTTTGGCCTTCACAATGTCTCAGGCTAGCAGCTATGTCTCTGTGTATCACGTAAGTACATACGAATGTAATATTTACTCGTTTACTTTAGCCTTCACAATGTCTCAAGCTAGCAATGACAATGTCGCTGTGTACCACGTAAGTATCTACAAATGTAAGATTTACTCGTTTACTTTGGTCTTCACCATGTCTCAGGCTAGCAATGACAATGTCTCCGTGTACCACGTAAGTACATACGAATGTAATATTTACTCGTTTACTTTGGCCTTCACAATGTCTCAAGCTAGCAATGACAATGTCTCTGTGTACAACGTAAGTATCTACAAATGTAAGATTTACTCGTTTACTTTGGCCTTCACAATGTCTCAGGCTAGCAATGACAATGCCCTGTGGACCACGTAAGTATCTACCAATTTAAGATTTACTCGTTTACTTTGGCCTTCGCCATGTCTCAGGCTAGCAATGACAATGCCCTGTGGACCACGTAAGTATCTACCAATTTAAGATTTACTCGTTTACTTTGGCCTTCAACATGTCTCAGGCTAGCAATGACAATGCCCTGTGGACCACGTAAGTATCTACCAATTTAAGATTTACTCGTTTACTTTGGCCTTCAACATGTCTCAGGCTAGCAATGACAATGCCCTGTGTACCACGTAAGTATCTACCAATTTAAGATTTACTCGTTTACTTTGGCCTTCACCATGTCTCAGTATATGGCAATGACAATGTCTCTGTTTCAGTGAAGTATCTAAAATTATGACATATACTCTTGTTTTGGCCTTCACGGCAGTTATTTGCTGCAACAGCAAAGGCCTCATATATGATTAATAGTTGTATGGTTTGTTATTGACCCCTTAAAGGATTATAGGGAAGTCAGACCTTAATTATTATACGAGGTAAAACCAAAATCATTATAGGGAAGGAAGACCTAAAGGATTATAGGGAAGAAAGACCTAAATTACTAAGGGAAGGAAGACCTAAAGGATTATAGGGAAGTAAGACCTAAAGGATTATAGGGAAGTAAGTCCTAAATGATTATAGGGAAGAAAGACCTAAAGAATTATAGGGAAATAAGACCTAAAGAATTATAGGGAAGTAAGACCTAAAGGAGTATAGGGAAGACAGACCTAAAGAATTATAGGGAAGTAAGACCTAAAGATTTATAGGGAAGTAAGACCTAAAGGATTATAGGGAAGTTAGACCTAAAGGATTATAGGGAAGTAAGACCTAAAGAATTATAGGGAAGTAAGACCTAAAAGATTATAGGGAAGAAAGACCTAAAGAATTATAGGGAAGTAAGACCTAAAGGATTATAGGGAAGTTAGACCTAAAGGATTATAGGGAAGTAAGACCTAAAAGATTATAGGGAAGAAAGACCTAAAGAATTATAGGGAAGTAAGACCTAAAAGATTATAGGGAAGAAAGACCTAAAGAATTATAGGGAAGTAAGACCTAAAAGATTATAGGGAAGAAAGACCTAAAGAATTATAGGGAAATAAGACCTAAAGAATTATAGGGAAGTAAGACCTAAAAGATTATAGGGAAGAAAGACCTAAAGAATTATAGGGAAATAAGACCTAAAGAATTATAGGGAAGTAAGACCTAAAGGATTATAGGGAAGTCAGACCTTAAGAATTATAGGGAAGTAAGACCTAAAGGATTATAGGGAAGAAAGACCTAAATTACTAAGGGAAGGAAGACCTAAAGGATTATAGGGAAGTAAGACCTAAATGATTATAGGGAAGTAAGACCTAAAGGATTATAGGGAAGTTAGACCTAAAGGATTATAGGGAAGTAAGACCTAAAAGATTATAGGGAAGAAAGACCTAAAGAATTATAGGGAAGTAAGACCTAAAAGATTATAGGGAAGAAAGACCTAAAGAATTATAGGGAAATAAGACCTAAAGAATTATAGGGAAGTAAGACCTAAAAGATTATAGGGAAGAAAGACCTAAAGAATTATAGGGAAGTAAGACCTAAAGGATTATAGGGAAGTCAGACCTTAAGAATTATAGGGAAGTAAGACCTAAAGGATTATAGGGAAGAAAGACCTAAATTACTAAGGGAAGGAAGACCTAAAGGATTATAGCGAAGTAAGACCTAAAGGATTATAGGGAAGTAAGACCTAAAGAATTATAGGGAAGTAAGACCTAAAGGATTATAGGGAAGTAGGACCCATAGAGGACAAGGCCGATAGGCTAATAATCATGTAGAGGATGAGAGGCTAACAAAACCAAGAGTTTTTTTGCATCGGGGACCCTTTTAAAAACTGCTCCCTATTTAGACATACGTTCAATGATTAACAGACTGGAAAGTACTAGATGTAATTTTCTTCCTATCACAGTTACTGTAACGGTCTGTTTTTGTCACATGTCACTAAAATGGGGTAGTTATGTTACTTTTACAGTAAATTGAAATTATATGCAGATATGGGATTTTTTTTTCTCTCTGCCAATACCACACGGAAAAAAAGATTTGGTTCATGCATGTAGCGTTACGTTGGGTGGCGGAAGAACGACTGGGTTTGGGTTTACTGGGTTCCTGAGGCTAACGACGACATTGCCGCTTTATATCGCTCTCTCAAACATTTCTAGACAACCACAACATAACAACACAGATTTTCGAAATGAAGACCATTTAATTATGGTGTTAATGTGGTCAATACATTTGGACAAGTTTGGCAGAAGAAGTGATTTGCGTTTCCATGACGAACACTGTGCATAGATCGCATCAATATTTTATCAGGCCTCTCCGTCTACATTCTCTTACCGGTAAGCCTATAGCTACTGTAAAGCACTCTGAGCAGCCGACACCCTACATATCCTGTCGGGTTCCAACGAATACATGAAATATGTTTCTATCGGTAGATATTGACAAGTGTGAGGCGTTCAACAGGCTTCACCCGTTAGTTGATAGCCGTACCCCAAGTCCCTCGGTAAAGTAGGATAAAGGGTGGGGTTATCAGCATTTACAACAGTTATATCCTGTTCCACTTGGTGCGCCACGTTATTTGACGTATGAGTAAACAACACAGGCTATATACTGACAATATAAATGTATGCACCCAACACAATCAACAATTAAAACAAAAATTACATACGCTGATGGAAGATATATCCAAACTATAGGTTGAGAAAGTTTACAAGTCTAGTTAACTTAAAATTGTAATAATTCGAGTTTCTTATATACCGCTTTATCACAACCTAGTTCGTAGGTCGTCTATAGCCGTTCACAAATTCGTACCAGCCAATATCTTTCTCAACTCCCTGGGGAGCATACAGCCGGTGCTGCCATTTCGGCGCTTACAACTAGCATTCAACAATTCGAGCAATGCCCGACCACGTATTCATTTACAGCTGAGTAGACTAGAACGATCGGAGTAAAGTATCGGGCTCAAAGATACAATCAACACAGTGCCGTGCCATGACTCGAACCCGCAACCGTTCGGTCACATTACTAGTGTTTCTGTGCTCACACAGTGGCACAGTTCTTTGTAGGACGCTCTCTCCAAATTACTGTAAACAATTTGTTGTCTTGTCCATATCGACACAAATCTGATCGCTTTATTATACTGGATTTTTTTTTAGCGATTTACACGTATTGGCTTTTTAGCATCCATTAAATGATGAAGCACAGCAACACTATTCTTATCTTGAATGAGATAGAATTCTATGCAAAAGCAGGTATTTTTCTGTCTACGTTTGCTTGATTTCATAAACCGAGTAACGATAAATATTACCAATTTACGTGAATCTCCGAAACCCAGCCGTACTTACAACGCTATTCTTTAGACAACTTACGTTCAACTCGTTATCAGTAAACCAGAGCCGACTTCTTGTGTGAAAAATAAAAATTAGGTTAAGAGGAAACTTGCGCTACAGAAAACATCCTTTACGCGTATGGTGAAATATTGTCCACCATCACTTCGTCTGGCGAGGAAGCATGGCCAGACTTCAGTGAACCTAGTGTGGTAGTTATCGTCAGACGGCAATATCATATTTCACTAATTAGCTCGTGCATTGCCCTGTGCTCGCTCAGTCATTTAATGGAGACACCCTTCATACTCTTGACTTAATAACACCGACATAGACAAACTGTTTAATTATACAAGTACGCTTCTACTCTGGTAATAAGGCCGAATAGGCAAGGGGACTGTTTAATAAATTTCCACCTATTCATTGCTGTCACACGTATTGAATATATGAGGGTTTTATAGATTTAGTGTTTTGATGTCTACTTGCAGGGAGGATTCAATGAGTGGAGTAAAAGGTCACAGAAAGATCAAATCGAAAAGTAGACAGACGTGTCGAGCCTTCTTGACTTTTCACCTTGTACTGCATACGAAGGTCCAATCAGCTAGTCATCATAAGTTAAACAAAAAAACTCCAGAGCAGTCTACAGAAACCAACGCGAACGCATTCAGTTCCACAAATGTCGAGTCCAGTTCTACAGAAACCAACGCGAACGCATTCAGTTCCCCAGATCTCGAGTCCAGTTCTACAGAAACCAACGCGAACGCATTCAATTCCCCAAATGTCGGGTCCAGTTCTACAGAAACTAACGAGAACGCATTCAATTCCACAAATGTCGGGTCCAGTTCTACAGAAACTAACGAGAACGCATTCAATTCCACAAATGTCGGGTCCAGTTCTACAGAAACCAACGCGAACGATTCGGTTCCACAAATGTCGGGTCCAGTTCTACAGAAACTAACGCGAATGCATTCAGTTCCACAAATGTCGGGTCCAGTTCTACAGAAACTAACGCGAAGGCATTCAATTCCACAAATATCGGATCCAGTTCTACAGAAACCAACGCGAACGATTCAGTTCCACAAATGTCGGGTCCAGTTCTACAGAAACTAACGAGAACGCATTCAGTTCCACAAATGTCGGGTCCAGGTCTACAGAAACTAACGCGAACGCATTCAGTTCCACGAATGTCGGGTCCAGTTCTACAGAAACTAACGCGAACGCATTCAATTCGACAAATGTCGGGTCCAGTTCTACAGAAACTAACGCGAAGGCATTCAATTCCACAAATATCGGATCCAGTTCTACAGAAACCAACGCGAACGATTCAGTTCCACAAATGTCGGGTCCAGTTCTACAGAAACCAATGCGAACGCATTCAATTCCACAAATATCGGGTCCAGTTGTACAGAAACCAACGCGAACGATTCAGTTCCACAAATGTCGGGTCCAGTTCTACAGAAACTAACGCGAAGGCATTCAATTCCACAAATATCGGATCCAGTTCTACAGAAACCAACGCGAACGATTCAGTTCCACAAATGTCGGGTCCAGTTCTACAGAAACTAACGCGAAGGCATTCAATTCCACAAATATCGGATCCAGTTCTACAGAAACCAACGCGAACGATTCAGTTCCACAAATGTCGGGTCCAGTTCTACAGAAACTAACGAGAACGCATTCAGTTCCACAAATGTCGGGTCCAGTTCTACAGAAACTAACGCGAACGCATTCAATTCGACAAATGTCGGGTCCAGTTCTACAGAAACTAACGCGAAGGCATTCAATTCCACAAATATCGGATCCAGTTCTACAGAAACCAACGCGAACGATTCAGTTCCACAAATGTCGGGTCCAGTTCTACAGAAACCAATGCGAACGCATTCAATTCCACAAATATCGGGTCCAGTTCTACAGAAACCAACGCGAACGCATTCAGTTCCACAAATGTCGAGGCCGGGTCTTCAGAAGCCAGAGCGTATATACTCAATTTCATAAATGATGCGTCCGGGTCTTCCGAAGCCAAAGCGAACATACTCAGTTCTACAAACCAGTCTACAAAGGCCAGCATTATTTCTACGAAACTCAATCTCAACATCGAATAAGCAGTTTAAAGAACACTCAAAATCCAAAACCAAAATTGACAAGTGTACGAAGATGCAACTGTCCAGGCTCAATCATATCTAAAGTCTTTAAAAGTGTGATCGACCGAAACTGCTTGTTATTCTACAATGGGAAGAAGAATAAATACTATAATATGATATATTATATACTCCAAAAACTATGCACGTACTCAGAAAGTGTACATTGTTTAACTAAACGCGATACTGTCTCGGTGTACATGATGTTTACATGTATTTACGTAATTTATTATCTAGGGAACAAAATGTGTTTAGTGATTATTCATTGATAGTTCCTCAAAATTTGTTAAACAAAAACAAAAACAAAAAACCTGAGATGTAAACATTTTTGATAATAGTGTTAATGTAATCCGTGTGATAGTTCATACAACATGTGTAAACGGGAAACATTCTATAAACCCCTGTCACATGCTTACACTCTCCTACAATTCCCCTTTTTCTAGTACCTGTCATTTTTTACCCCTCTTTCCAGTTCTTCCTTCCTTCTAAAACGGTAAATAACACTACAGATATCAGGTCCAACATGCAAAAATAATCAGATTTTGTTTATCCTTGTTACCATATGTAAAATGCATGTAATAAGATTCAATGTGATACCGTTTCGATGCTATCAGAAGATAATACCCCAATGTCATTTTGTTTTTTCTGAGTTGATACTCCATGTAACATCATATTTAATCAAATAAAAAAGGAGAAAACAACGTAAAGCAAAGAAAGAAAATAATAAGTGAGACTGGAGATTTTTTGATAAAAAAAAAAAAAAAAAAAAAAAAAAAAAAAAATTGGTACATTCTGTACAACGCTTAATGAATCTTGATATCGCCACACAACTGTAGGGTTGGCAACAATATACACCTTTATTTTCCTATTATAAGTTTTTTGTTTATAGTAACTTTAACACTATTTTTGCATATTCTATATAGTAGTGAAATTATATAGTGTAAGCGTAGTACAGTAATGTAAGTAACATACACCTGGAAGGAATTTCATTGAATATGCGATTCAATATTGTTTTCATTGTGTCGTTATAATTATTCCGGGTGATAGTGATTTCTCAAATAGCTTTTAGTCTTAACTGATTCGTTGCATTGGAATTCGACGGAAAGTGATTATTGACTTATATAAGAATAGTCCACATAATACAAGTTTCGCATTCCTCAGACTCTCGCCCTCTCTCTCTCTCTCTCTCTCTCTCTCTCCATATAACCAGCCTTATAGCGTAATTATTCAACAATCACAAAGGAGCAAATAACATTGCAGTTTGACACCTTTTGATTAAATCATTATATCAAACAAAAATGTTTTCGTTGATTTTACTGATTGATGATTATTTTAAATAAAAAAATAATGGTATCTCAGGTGTATTTATTTTGTATCATGAACTTTCCGTTTCTTTATAGTTACACCCGTGCTTTTTCCGACCTACAAATCACAGTTATTCAATATTCATGTATTTGCTCAGAATGTCACGATTTATGTGATACATTTCTAATGTTAAGGGACAAAAGAATTTCGATGGATAGAGGATTACATACTGTATACCAGGAAACTTTCGCCCAGTCCAATTTTCGCCTTACGCCGGTAAAATTCATGTTCGCCCTTCATATTTGAATACTATGTTTATTTTATCGCTTTACTACTGCTCGTTGTATTGATAAATTCACTCTCTTTATGGTAGGCGAAAATGGCGAAAATTTAACTTCGGCGAAAATGTCCCGGTACATAGTAGAGTGAAATTATTCAATTTCCTTGTCCGATATGAATATAATCTTTGTACTTTTTAGTGGTCTCCAAGTTTTTTCCCCGCGTTCCATATTTTGTGCTAGTTTTATCGATTTTGATACCGAACAACAGTTCTGTCCACACTTCTTCCTATTTTCTTGTTGTTTTATGGTGAAACGAAGCATTAATTCAGAACGTTAGCATCCGTTCGGATTGTAAATCACCCATACATGGCAATATATACCATAATAGGTTGCTAGATTTGATAAACTTAGCTCAGCATTGGTCAATTATTCATTGAAAGAAAATATTTGTTGGTGGGGCCAAGTGTTACGCTGTTGAATGAAGAATAGATATCAATATAATTGTCGATGCTAATTGGCCCATTTAATGATTAAATCGTACCAATCTAAATGGCTACTCGGATCTGAATAAATTTCACTGGATATATAATTTCGTGGTTATTCTTATTACCTTTAGCTGAATACAACTTCTAGAAAACACAGTGAAATCTGTCTAGTCCGACCCCTTATTATCGTCATCATCCTGCTTAACCCAACCCGGAGTATCCAGACATGACTAATCCGATTCTTGAGTTTTCCTACATCCTGTTATTTTCGTAGTTAATTGGTGATAAAAAATACCACAACAAATATAATCTGTATATTCTTGTACACTGCCTTATCCAAGCCATACATTTGTTTAGTTAGATCCCACAGGGTGTCGGATAAGACAAGTTTCAGTGTTTGCATATTATTGTCGAAACCAATACTTCTGATACTGCCACAAGACCTCACGATTATCGTGGGGTCTCGGTGATAACCAGCTTGTTGCTGAGTCATACTCCTTTATTTCGCCTCCACGTTAAAATCTATCTTTGACAGGCCTTTCCGCGAGAACAGAGCCGCACTACCCATTGATATACCACGTGTCGTTCGACTGACGCTGCTGCTGATTTGCACGGCAGATGTGAATCCTTGCCAACGTTATTAAAGCCTTCTGCTCCTGAGAGACTGCCGCAAATCTACTCCACTGTAGCTGCTGCCTGCTGAGGCGTGTTACCGAATGTCGGATAGCTGCAAGTAGCTAGAGCGCGCTCGTGAATACAGTGGTGGAGTATGAAGTAGGCCGTATCACTTTCGTGTCTGTTGTTCACCGGTAGTGCCACTTTTGTTTGGATCTCAGTGGCTCGCCTAGCGTTAACGCATTTAGCTGTATAGGGAAATCGCGCGCCTTGTCATGGATAATTTTGATATACAGATTACTAAGTTTCAAAACTTTAATATACATCAAAAACGTTTTCCCGTCTATTTTGAGTTATTGTTGAAATAAACCGCATTTTGAATTTACATCTTTCCCAATACGTTAATAAGTCAATGATAATTTGCCCATATTTTAATGTTTGAACAGGAATTTAAGATTTAAAAATACCCCCGCTGGTTAAAGCTTTGACTAATGATTATTCAAATGATAAACGTATGAAAAACAGATTGATGCCAATTTCTCCGTTTCAATGGAACCGGATAAATTTATCCTCGTTCATACCGACATTATCATTGAGGAAATACGTAACAATATATATGCATGTTTACATTCTCAATTTATAGTTATTAGATAGTTATTATTAGATCTAGATAAAAGTATTCCTTAATATTTGCAGAGTTGAGGTTTTTATACCGTCATTGTACACGGATATTCATGAAATGGTCCAACACCATTTAACTCTTCACTTCTTACAGTGCTTATTCGCGAAAGGAGAAGCGACAAAATGACAATTATTAAATTGCGTTCATGGCCTAATGAAATGCATTTGTCCTGGTTATATTTATATAATGAGATGTAAAACAAATGTATAAACTGTATATCATGTTACAGTGTATAGATATTTAAAACTGTTGGTGTAAGTATCCCTTGCCTGTATCAAGGTATACCATGTATAAAGGTGACAATATATAGCAAATGTGGTGAATATAACGCACGTCCTTCTGGAGCCCCTGTTTTGTCTCCGATGTTTTGAAGGATCCAAGATGTCTCTCCTTTTATTTTCATGTATCAGTAGTTCCCGTCATTGACTTTTCCTATCGAGTTTTAATTCGGAGCATTGGTGTCAAAGATCCATAATCACCCGCATGCTCAAACCAGATTTTGTGCTGAAGCCCAATTACTTGGAATTGTTGTTTTTTCTCTCAATAACTTGGACAGACTTGGAGTCTAAAAGCCTTTTCAATGTCCATGACTATACTTTTTTTACTGTGTCACTCGATTGCCTGCGAGTTGGAACAAAATAAGTCGATTTGAGCACAGAATCATTATATATTTACTTTTCCCATCAGATTTGGCTTCCTGCTGATATTTGATTTGTGTCATATCCTTGGCAAGTATTTGAAATTTAAAATACTGACTTCAAAACTAACCAGCCTCTTTTACAGGCGAATCGAGAGCCTGAGAAATGCGTCTCTTGTACGTTGTTATACACGCAAGCTCCAACAGAAAGCAAAAAAAATCAGGAACAGAAAATTTAAATCCAACATAACTTAGACATATCAGTCTTAGTTTGTGCAGATATCATCCCCTAGTATATTTATAGTCCAACAAAGAGCTTAGAGCAACCATTCTTTTCTTATACATTTGTATGTCAACTCCCACAAAGAGCTAAGAATTCAATCAGTTTGTAGAATGTCAATCCCGAAAGTAAGCTTAGAGCTATCAGTCTATAGTATGTCAACTCCGACAGTAAGCTTAGAGATATCAGTCTATAGTATGTCAACTCCGACAGTAAGCTTAGATATATCAGTTTATAGTATGTCAACTCCGACAGTAAGCTTAGAGAAATCAGTCTATAGTATGTCAACTCCGACAGTATGCTTAGAGATATCAGCAATAGTATGTCAACTCCGACAGTAAGCTTAGAGATATCAGTCTATAGTATGTCAACTCCGACAGTAAGCTTAGAGAAATCAGTCTATAGTATGTCAACTCCAGCAGTAAGCTTAGAGATATCAGTCTATAGTATGTCAACACAAACAGTAAACTTAGATAAATCGGTCTGTAATATGCCAACACCAACAGTTAGCTTCGAGATATCAGTATATAGTATGTCAAATCCGACAGTTAGTTTAGAGATATCACTATAAAGTATGTCAATCCCGACAGTATGTTTAGAGATATCAGTCTATAGTATGTCAACTCCGACAGCAACCTTAGATATATCAGTCTTTAGAATGTCAACGCCAACAAATAGCTTACATAAATCAGTCTGTAATATGTCAACACCAACAGTAAGCTTAGAGATATCTGTCTATTGTATGTCAACTCCGACAGTAAGTTTAGAGAAATCAGTCTATATAATGTCATCTCCGACAGTAAGTTTAGAGATATCAGTCTATATAATGTCAACACCAACAGTAAGCTTAGAGATATCTGTCTATTGTATGTCAACTCCGACAGTAAGTTTAGAGAAATCAGTCCATATAATGTCAACTCCGACAGTTAGCTCAGAGATATCAGTCTATTGTATGTCAATTCCAACGGTAAGTTTAGAGAAATCAGTCTGTTGTATATCAACTCCAACAGTAAACTTAGATAAATCAGTCTATACTATGTCAACACCAACAGTAAGCTTAGATAAATCAGTCTATACTATGTCAACTCCAACAGTAAACTTAGATAAATCAGTCTATACTATGTCAACTCCAACAGTAAACTTAGATAAATCAGTCTATACTATGTCAACTCCAACAGTAAACTTAGAGAAATCAGTCTATAGTATGTCAACTCCAGCAGTAAGCTTAGAGAAATCAGTCTATAGTATGTCAACACCATTAGTAAGCTTAGAGATATCAGTCTATAGTATGTCAACACCAACAGTAAACTTAGATAAATCGGTCTGTAATATGCCAACACCAACAGTTAGCTTCGAGATATCAGTATATAGTATGTCAAACCCGACAGTTAGTTTAGAGATATCACTATAAAGTATGTCAATCCCGACAGTATGTTTAGAGATATCAGTCTATAGTATGTCAACTCCGACAATAACCTTAGATATATCAGTCTTTAGAATGTCAACGCCAACAAATAGCTTAGATAAATCAGTCTGTAATATGTCAACACCAACAGTAAGCTTAGAGATATCTGTCTATTGTATGTCAACTCCGACAGTAAGTTTAGAAAACTCAGTCTATAGAATGTCATCACCGACAGTAAGTTTAGAAATATCTGTCTATTTTATGTCATCTCCGACAGTAAGTTTAGAGATATCAGTCTATATAATGTCAACAACAACAGTAAGCTTAGAGATATCAGTCCATAGTATGTCAACTCCGACAGTTAGCTCAGAGATATCAGTCTATTGTATGTCAACTCCATTAGCAAGATTAGAGACATCAGTCTGTACTATGTCAACACCAACAGTAAGCTATGAGATATCAATCTATAGTATGTCAACTACGACAGTAAACTTAGAGATATCAGTCTTAAGAATGTCAACTCCGACAGAGCTTATAGAAATAATTCTCTAGCATTTCAACTCCAACAGAGAGCGTATGTCATGGCCGACAGAGAGCTCAGAGAAATTCATCACTAATATGTCAACACCAATAGAGAGATCGAAGAAAACAGTCATTTGATTAAATTCAATATTCTTTACGGTAGTGAACTAAGATTTATAGAACTAGATATTTAATGAGTAATTTAAGAGTAATTATACAGAAACTATTTTAAGGTGCGAACTCTATAAATCGGCGTCGTAGTTGATACAAATTGGCTCCATTTCCTTTAAGTGCAGCACTTCAACAAATTCTTTATTTTTCTTTTCTTTGTTATTTTTAGTGCCGCCCTAAGATCGTCGTCGCGATGATGAGACCAGGTAACATGTCTGATCAAGTTTCCACATGACGATATGTAAGTGCGGTGGAACTACGGCAAATCGTTTAAATATCCACCTTCATCTCAATAATTAAGAAATATATTACGAGAAAGTGAACACGTGAAAACATTCATTTAACATTAACAATTTAATAACATTTGTTTTTACAAAAAAAATAAACAATGCATTTCAGTTTCAATAACAAATAATTGTATTCATGATTTCAAACGCCCACTTTCAGTTATAGGCCATGCATGCACATACATGCTCATAATAATAAGAAACATAATACCATGCGAGTTTGTCGGTATCGTACATAGAACATCGATTTGAAGAAAAATAACGATAGTGGTTAAATCGTCCCTCTAAAGAAAAGTAATTGAAATACTGAATTAAACAGCATGCATTCCCTATTAATTTGAATACTTATTCAATTCACGACAAAATCTTCGCCGACTTATTCCAAAAATTTAAAAGTCAATGTCACTCACATAATATGCTGTTTTGGGTTTGAGTCGGTTCCCGTTTGGTCAGCATCATACGAGAAATTATCGATATGTGGTTTATATGTACATTTCAGGTGTTCCAAATTAGTTGACCAATTTCAAATAACCATTATTCTAATAAGCTGGACTTTGTAAACTGTGCCTGTAGGTTTCAGGGTACTTATTTTATTCATATTTCAGAGGATGCTGATTGTATTTTTCTTTGAAATAAATATTAACGGATGATTTAAATTTGCAACCGACTCACGAATCAACGCGAAAAAAAAATCTCCTGGAAATAAATATGATTTACAGTATTTAACACTGAAATGTATTAGATGGTAACTTCCTGAGGAAAAAAGTAATTGACATCATGGTTGTATAAATCTGCAACAAGTCTTTTATTCCGTCTTTGCGTATTGCAGAGTTATGTTCTCTTGGGAGCAGGGGTTGATTGTTACGTCATTGGTCTGTGGGAGAAAATTACGTCGTTTTCTCAAAAATTGATGACGTTACTCTCACAAACAAATGACGTAACAATCAATACCTGCTCCCAAGAGAAGATAACTCTGCAATACGCAAAGACGGAATTAATACTTGGATGTGTATTCTTGATGAAGGACAAGAACTGCTTGTTTCTAAAAATCGTGATAATCAGTCATAAAAATATGAAAAAAAGCTAACTTTAGAGAAAAATTATAATTTCATTTGAAAAAATTAGCACCATTGTTTTATAATTTCAAAAAAATACAAATGCGTTCTGTATAATGCAAAGCAAATGCCTCAAAATGTCTCGGAACAGATCTGGCTGTCACAACATATACAACAAGGAAAAAATAATATAAAGTGAGAAAATAAACAAAACAAAAAAAAATTAACAAATTCTGCAACCGGAGATTCTAAAATTATTCCAGGTTTACAAGATTACATAATACATGCGAGACAAAATGTAAAATACAACCAAACAAGTGTATTGTTTTTAGAGTTGTGGTTAATACACTCGTTCTTGTATGACATTTACAATAAGCTATAACAAAAACATTTCACAGCAAAGTGAATTAGGGCGATATATACGCACTATTTATATTGTATATTTTGTAGGAAACAGACAAACAATTTTCCTCATTGATTAAGCACTATTTTTCTGGTCAAGATACAAGAAAACAACGAGAAGAACTATTTTGACAATGAGAGAGTGAAAGGAAGAAAGAGTCATGGTTATGATTTGTAAACGTTATTTCAATTATGGTTACAACTTTGCTGTGCTTCATACATATCAATAACACCAAGCAATCTTGAATCAACATAATTTACACACATTTGGCATCAAAAGTTATTTCACTTACCGGGGCGGATACTGACCTTCCAATAATATTGACCACGTGGAAAATATAATTTCCTATCCCAAAACCCCTTAATGTAAATATTCCTTCACGTTTAAAATATTTTTCATTAGGAAATCCACGGCTTCATCAGTAAAACAATATACTGTAAACTATTGTTAGCGGATTCAAATTCTTGCGTATGACGGAATTTCAAACGATTAGCGCTTTCATGAATTAGCGCACTATATACATATACTAGACACTGAAACTCCAATTAACGCAGTCATAATTTTGCACATTAGCCGCTAAATTTGGACAATGCTAAAAAAGGTACGTTTACAGTAAATGGGTGCCTGCATTGGATCCGCCACGGACTAGCCGGTAGGCTACGGAGATTTAACTGTACATGTTTAACAGTGAAATGGTTTTGAAATCATATTATCGTTACCACTACATACATATATTCAAACACATATTCAGTCAGCATGAGAAGAGTAAACATTTCAATAATAAAATATCTATAAACATTTACGCATCCATTGCCATGGCATGTGACAATATAAAAACATTTATTTAGCAAACACATTCATTAACAGCTTCGATAGTTACGACCTCGTGCCGAGATCACCATTCTATAAATTGATTCCCGTATACAACATTGTCAACATAACAGAAATTAGTTAGGATATCAATGCAATCAACAGGAGTGTTGTTACACACAGCAGCAGTGGAATAATGACCGTCTTACTTTTTTCCATGTCGACTGAATGAACTGACGATATTCAATCTCTTATTTACCTCAAACAATTTTAATTATTGAATGTCCATACACAATCCAGAGATTTTGATATAAAGTAGACCACTGGGTATGATGCCTTTCCGGACAACGAAGCATCATCGCTTATTATATTTCTTTCAAATGATGTACGATAGTGTTCGTTGAACAATATCAGATGGTTACCTGTCTAAAGAGCTACATAGGAATCGAAATTTTGGGCACAGATCGGTCCCTATTAATATTTTTAAAAAGTCATCATGTACGTCATTCAATTGGTAAATATCCCACAATAGACAACCGAGTACGTTATATCGTAACGCTGTTTCTGCAAAAAGCCCAGACAAAACATTATCATATTGAGCTACTCAAGAGTGAAGACAGTTGTTACCTAATACTGTACTTTTCAGCACGAGTCATCCTGAACACATCTTGCAAAAGTAGATTTTGTAAATGTATCCGTCACTGAAAATATTTCCAGACAGAAGATCTGCCTTCCCAAAATCAAACTAATATATTTACAATATTTTACTTTACATAATTATTTAAACTGAATTTGTCCAGTCCGTGATTTAGTAAAGTTGACTCCATGGGTGAATGGGCTAACACGAAATGTATTACGCATTTACCTTCAATTGTTCTTTATAAATGTTGTTCTACCATCCTATTTATACTTCATCAATAACCTGGAATCCTTGTGATGCCCACATTGGCTCACCGCTAGTATCAAGCTCGCTAGGTTCTTCCTCTTCGTTAGTCATTTTATCCAGTTCCTCGTCTGTTTTGTCCATCGGTGGTTCCTGTTGATCATTAAATTCTTCCTCTTCCTCCATCGTTGACTCGTATTGTACAGTAGCTTCTTCCTCTGTGTCAATCGCGGACTCGAACAGAACGTTCTCATTTACCGATGATTCTGGCAAGGACTTGACGTCTGCAGATTCTTGACTTACACTTTCAAAGTCCATTTCTAGTAAACTCTCATCTGCGGTATCTACGTCTTCAGAGTCACCGTCCTGTGACAACGGGGCATCACTTACATCACTGAAATCATTTGCCGTATCCTTTTCAGCAGATTCTGTTCTTTCCTGCTCGTAATTGTTTTCAGTGACTTCGGATACACTGTTCATTACGTCATTCGCAACTTCGTCAGGCTCTCTAAGTATATCCTGACTATTAATGTTATTTCCCGCAGTAGCCACCATTGTACTGATATCCATTTCCTCATGTGCTGCTACTGTCGGTTTTTGGACATCGCAATCGTCATGTTCGGTCTTCACGACATGGTCATCATACTGCTCTGTACTATCATCGTAGTCGTCATACTCACTTTCTTTCTTCACTTGATACTCGTTCTCCATCAAAGAAACACCAAGATTGCTTGCTACTTCAGAAAACCGATCGTCGGACAGGCTGTCAAGGTCAACAACAGATACATTAGCTTCAAGCAAGATTTTTTCATATTCCGACGCGCCCAATGACAAGAAGTCTACAAGTTTTATCGTGGGATCCATTCGCACAAGTGTCACAGAGTCTAATTGCAGAGTGTCATCAATTAAACAGCTACTACCGGATTCTCTGGATACTTCCATTGGTTTATCCGGATGGGCATATGCTACGTGGGTCTTTACCTTTCCTTGCGTGTATTGGGAGAAGTCGCAATATGGGCAGCTGAAAGGTCGTGTGGCAAGATGTTTCTCCATGTGCGTATTGAAGTCCTTGTCACCAGCTGCCAAGTATGAGCAATACCCACACTTTAGACGAGACTCCAGTTGTGTACCGGCTGTCAGCCATTTGAAGCCCCCATGGGCGGCCAGGTGCTGTCTGTAGTGGTAGAGGCTCTCGCTTGAGTAGCTACACAGGTGGCAGGAATACTGGATTATTCCTGTCTCCTCTTTTACGTTATCTATAAAAAATAAGTAAGCAGAAGTTATTATCATGATACACTTGCTACCTTAGACATTCTCAACGTCTTTCCGGTCATAATGTTATTAAATTCAGTGTTATAGAAAAATGGCGAAATTTGAACGCTTCAGCGTTTAGTAACGAGTTTTGCCCGACAATAATAAATTTCTTCTCAATATCACATGCAATGTAAACTCTCGGATGACTTACACGGTGTATTATCGATCAAAATCTATTAAAACTGCCTTGTTTTCTCATTATCGTATACACTTGGTATTAATCTGAGCAGCGCATATTGGATGTCCTACCGAGACATTTAATCGGACAAAAGAGTGATGACGCATACTTTTAATTACAAACCTACAGAAGATGATCTCAAATGGGATGAAATGAACGCGTAAATTAACTAATTACAGGTAAATTTAAACTGCTGGGTTTGTTTTCCTTCAATGATTCAATTATCATTACAGACCTAGAATTCCCCAATATTCAATAGTTGAAATTACCGTCACATCTGAATTGTAATGAACACACGTTTGTCTTTGTTATGGAAAGTAGAAGTTAAATTGCTAGACCTAGGTAAGTAGGTAAACCATATTTCAATGACGGCCTATTTCAAAGACAGCTTATTTTCAAGATATGTTTGCCTGAAAGAAAGTCAAGGCCTTTGAAGTCCAAACTATTTTCAAAACAGGCTTATCATCGAGATTTTTGGGTATTCTTCTGCACAAGAAAGGGCATGGATGACAATCTAATTTATGAGCGACATACCTGATGTGCTTTCTGTGTATAACTCTTCCTCAGAGTCGTCAGAATTATCAATCTTTCTGCGTTTTTCAGCAGGCTCGGACACATCTGCAGAGGTGACCGTCGACGAGGCAATCGCATTAGTCAACCCTCCTTTATTTTGCCTCTCATCAATCACATACACTGCTTTGCCTGGATGCTGCTTCCTTATGTGAGTCGTCACTCTGCTTCTGTAATTGTGATGACGAGAGACGTGTCATTGTGCTAACAACAGTAGACAAAAACCAAAACAAGCAATTCAAAGGAACCAACATTTTGAAAAAAAGAACTTCGGTATCAGAACAAGCAAAGGGCTATAACTCTGTACTATAGAGTGGGGTACGATACGGGATTTAGTACGCGACATTCCGTCATCTCATGAGATACTCACTTCTAAACCTTGGCAACTAAAGGTGAACCAATACAAGAGAAATACTACGGAAAATGTTGCTCACTATCCGACTGACTAACGGACGAAGTTCAAAGCTGTAGCTCTGTCTCTGATATAAGTTAATTGCACCAAAACTGATCACTAGAAGGAGACTGTAAAATGCTTTGTTATTTACTAATTTAACTTAGATTATAAGTTTCGACTCAAGGAGGTTTTTTTATTCGAAACCTATAACGGATGCTTATCATACATCTTCAAATTATCGGAACATCGATAGAGCGAATACATACCTTGGGTAGCCATGGTTCGAACAGTAGGGACATCTATAGATAGAGTCCATGTGATGATACACGTGGGAAATCATTGTGTTCTGCATGAAGGTGTTGTATGGACAGAGCAGGCAGGTGAAACCGGGCCTTCCAGCCTTGTTGTTGAATAGTGGCTTGTACATCTTGCTAGGAATGTAATCCTCGGTTGCAATATTTTTCATGTTCGCTGAAGTTGGATAGTTCTTTTTGATTATTGGTTTCGGTATTGATTTGATATGTGATAAACTTTCTTTTGCCAATCTGGCTGCATGAGACTTCTGGTACGAAAGTTTTACCGGTGAGTTCGAGTCCAGTAACATCTCAATCTCCTGTTCCTGGGCTGCATTTCTTTTGAATAAAATCTTCATAGGTTTGCCTATATGTTGTTTTTCGATGTGACGCCGTACTCCATCGTTTTTCTTGGTTTGATAACCACAATGCCCACACTTGTAAGGCTTGTACTCAAAGTGACAGTACAGATGTTGCCGGACTGACGATCGCTTTCCTATATAATCACATTTGGCACACGTGTATCTTTCTGATGGCCTCTTCTCAGCGTCAGGTATGCCCTTTTTGGTCCTCAAGTAAAACTTTAACGGCATGTCAGGATGGCTATCCCATGTATGCTGTTGTATTTTCGATACGAACAGGGTTCTGAAGATGGTACAGTGTTTGCACACCATCAGCATCCCTGTGTGTTCCGATTCTATATGACTTTGGAATATTCTTGCATTTGAAGCTTTCAAATTGCAAACTGTACAAAACACAACTTGAGATTTTTCGCTATTCTGCTTTGAGCAGTCTTCGTCTCCTTTAGGCATAGTTTGGGTATTACTCGAAGTACTTGTCGCGCTATTGCTGGTGTCGTCGAAAGTGGAAACATCAGCTTCTGGTTTTTTCTCATAGCCCCCAACTTTGATTGGGATGTGGTATTTTCGAATCTTGGCTGTGTTTGGGCATATGGTAATTTGAACATTTTTGTTCAGATGCTTTTCACTAAGATGAAACTCTACTGCTTTTCTATCGGTATTTTTCAATTTACATCCAGAACATCCATATAGAGTTTTCGTACAAGTTCCTCTTTTCAGATGCCTATAGGCATTTGAAACGGAGTGACTTTTGTTGCCACATTCCAGACATTTCCAGAAGTATCTTATTTCAACACGAGCCTTTGTTTTGAAATCATTCTCCAAACTGTTATCCATTCCTGAAGCACCGTCCTCTTTTTCGTCTGGAGATGTTGTCGATGTTTCAACTACTGTCGTTGTCAGTGCCGAGAAAGGTTTGCGTCTGTATTTCAGGTCGCTTGTAATCGGTGAATACCACTGTGAAGGATCCAATCTTTTCACAACGACAGGTTTTCCGATATGTCTTCTCCTCATATGTCGTTTAGTGTTGCATTCATTGTTTGAGCGATAATCACAGTACGTACAACCGAAGGGACGTGCATTACTGTGCTTCTTTACATGCCGCATGAGAGCCCGTTTGATTGGATTGCTGAATCCACATTCTTTGCACATATAGCGATTTCCTATTCGTTTAATCAAAATGGACAAGTTGTTGGAAGACAATATTGGCGATTTTAACTTTGAATATTGGCTTGCGGTGGTTGACGTCAAATCAGTTGCCCGAGACGTTGTCTGTTCCTGGTCTGCATTATCTGATTGTACACTCTTTACTGAAGTACTTTCAATACTTTCTTTAGATTCCTGTTTCTTAAATGTTGGAATGGTGTACTTTCTCATTTTGGCTTCCCTTTTCAAAGTAACAATCCTGGACGTTTCACTTCCTGGATGCTTTGTTTCGATGTGAAGTTTGACAGTGCCTGGCTCCAAATCTTTGAACTTGCATGTGGAGCACCCTAACATCGGTTGGGAACATTCCCTTGAAAAATGTTTCTGTATCGACCAAATACTTTTGAATTTGGTGTCGCAGACAAGACATTTAAAGACATGCCTATATTCAGGAGTGTTGTCTTGGTCAGCTTCACTTTCAGCTGATGGTTGGCTTTCAAGTGTGACGGGTGGTTGTTTGGGCTGGGGTGGTAATTTTGGTGCCTTCGGTACTGGTTGGGGTTGCGGTTGGGTCACAGAACTTTTTTCAGGCTTGAGGGTAAGACTAGTATCAAAATCGGCAGGGGGCTCGTCCATGGTAGGTTGGCCTTGTTTTCCAGGGTGGTGCGTTCTGATATGTTTAAGACAATCGTGTCGCCAGTGTGAGCGGTATGGGCAAAAAGGGCATCCGAACCTTCGGAATCCTGAATGAATTGTCAAGTGATTAAGCACGGTAGCCCGCGATGTACTTGTATAACTACATATTTTGCATTTGTAAATATCTCCCATTCTCTGTATGTTTGGATTATCTTCTGTAGGTTGTTTATACAAAGACGGTTTCTGCACAGGCTTATTAACTATACCAATCTTCGGTTTGCTGGTGGTCGACTTCTTCGCTGTCGAGGCAGATTTCTTCTTCACAATGTCATATGATGGCGATGTTTTGATGGTTAAAGGCGGTATTTTCACTTTAAAAGGTGAACGGAACAGGGTTTCAGAAGACTGAAAATCGTCTACAGAGTCATCGTCTCTACCTTCTGTCTTGGAGTTTACACTTTCGCCTTCTTGCATTTTTATAAAGTACTCTTCCTCCTTGATGCTATGAATAGCCTTGTTGATCTTACTTTCCAGGTCAGTAACGTCCATCTGGACATGCTGTATAGGTTTGCGATGGATCTTTTGTATATGGACGACCATGGATGGAGATTCCAGTGTACCATGGCTACAGTACGCACATTTGTAGAACGAAACATCCATGTGCTGAAGTATATGTTTGTGCAGAACATATCGTCCAGAAAATGTGTCTTGACAAAGTTTACATGTGAATTCGGAATTGGATTCCTCTTGAATGAAGCACGGCCTCAACTTCAAATGGAGCAGATCGCCTCCCAGGAAATACAATGGAGTTTTCGCTTTGGGTTTCTGCATTTCCTCCTGAACTAGGCTACCATCCTCTGCTAATGTGGGTTTCTTGTCTTCCATTTGAGGACTAGGTGTATGCTCGCTCTCAGGGTCCGGTGATGGTGAATCGGAATATGGTTCGAACAAGTGTGGTGTGGTGGTCTTCTTGCCGATAGCAACTTTCAGCAATTCTCTTTGCTCTTTGGGTGGTGACTTCGACAATGCCTCGTATGTGGGACACAATGCAGGATGGGTCTTCAGGTGCCGAAGTAATTCTATTCTCCTCGTTGTGCTAAACGAACACTCTGTACACTCTACTGGCGATTTAAACACGTTTCCACTCGGGACAATAAACGTTTTCTGTATTCCCTGGTTGGGATGTTGAGAGTTCTTGTGACGAAGTAATTCTGCAGCGTCACCACAACTATATGAACAAATGTCACAATGGTGGGAATAAATTGACATGTCAGAAACGTCAACGTCTTCAGGATCGTCCATTTCGTCCGGAGATTCTGGCCATTCCTGTCCATGTGGTGGAAAAGATTCGCCAGCCGCAGAAATGACATCCACTCTACGTTTCACTCGAATGATTTTCCCAGGATGCTTGTCTTCACAATGCCTGCTCACAAATGCTTTATATGTTGATGAATATGCACAGTACTGGCACTTGAATACCATGACCTCTAGATCTGCATCAAGTACATGCAAAGACATATGAGCCTTTAGTGCCGGTAAACGTGAGCAATATTTCCCACATAGTTTACAGCAGAATCTCTTCCTCGAGCCAGGGTTTACTGAAAGCAAGTCTTCCTCATTAAGGTTATCACCATATGAACTTCTAACACTAGGTGACTTCTTTGTTAGAGGTTTTGGTACGGAAGTTGAAGAAGATGCTGTAGGGTAAGATGTTCCCTGAACGTCTTCATGTGTTGTCGCAGCATTATCCTCATCGTCGTTGTGTCCAAGTTCATGTTGTCTGAAAACTTGTTGATCCCGTGTTCCGAACATGCATTTGTCACAGAAAAAAGCCGAAACCGAAACTTTAAGAACTTTGGTTATAAAATTGATTCCTTTGGTTATCTCGCAGTTGTGTGATTTACCCATGTGTGTACTGAGAAATTCCTTTACATTCGTCTTGAATGCGCATAATGTGCAGAAGTAAACCTTCACCTTATGTTGTCCTTCGTGCAGGTTCATGTGGCACGACAGCTTGCTTAGTTTGTCCATGGCTGCAGGACAGCAAGGGCAAGAGAAACGCCGTTTTCGTTCATCTTTGCCCTTTTTATGAAGATACAGATGCTTACGCAGTAGACCTCTTCCTGACGCGAGATATGAGCACTCGGGGCAGCGAATTATCTCAGCACTTAGGGACTTCAACTTCGACTTATTAAGTGCCATTACTTTCACAGCATCACGCATATCACCTTCAGCAGCAATTTTTGTGAGTGACCCTTTTGCCTTAGACAAGTCCGACTGTTGGAGGTTATCTGGTTGTTCATCATCCACCTCTGTGTCATCACACGAGTTATTTTGCTCTGGAGAATCCGCATATACGTCATCATCATCATCATTTGCCGAGTCCATGTACACAGATGGCCATGGCTGAACGTCTGTTGGTTTATCAGGGATTCCCGGAACAGGAACTGCAAATTCGTTATTGTCTCTCTCCTGACAGACAAGCTGGCTTGCTACGGTAATTTGACGAGGTTTCCCCGGATGAACTTCAATTATATGAGCAATAATAGTCTTTCTGTTACTATCTTTGGCAGTACAATGTGGACAGGTGACGAATTTCAGTATGTTTGCCTGTATGTGAGTAATAAGGTCTTCGGCAGAAGGGAACAGCATTTTACATGATCGACATTTGAACTGATTTGTATTTGGGTGAAACTTTTTCCAATGATCCCGAAACAAATCCACCACATTGGTTCCATATAGACAAGCTGGATGACTACACATGTAGAGAATGAATGATGACGCTTTCGAGTGTGTAAGCATGTGTCGTAAATGACAATCTTCAGTTAGGCTTCTGTGTCCACAATGGGCACATTTATATTCCTCGGCATCTGAGTGCCAACACATTAAATGTTCCCTATATTCGCCAGATGTTATGCAAGCAAAGCGACAATCAGTGAAGCCACATACATAGAAACTTCCATTACAAGAAAATTTAGGAGTAATCGGTTCAGCAGTTGTTTTGGTGGTTGACTCACTAGGTGAAGTGGTTTCTTTGCTACTGTCTGTCAATGTCGGTACTGTTTCAGTACTTAACGCTTCTGTAAACCCACCAGAACTTTCTGCTACCGAAGGGGATTTGATGGCATTTCCACTGGAAGTTTCAACAGAAGCATCCTCTTTTTGCTGGTCACAAGAATGCGGGTCTTCTTTATTGTTCTTTACGTTTACATACGTCTGTTCAACAACATTGTTTATAGATCCTTGTAGTTTTTCAAAAATGTTTCCAGAATCTCGTATTTTCATAGTGGACGTTGAATTTACCTCTTCCGTTATTTCTTCCGATGACACAGCAGATTTCAACTCATTCTCATGACCTACATCTTCTTGTGTTTTCGATGACTCACTTAGACTGTATGTTGATGCTATCTTTATCTGCATACCACTGTCTTCCTCAGTATTGGTATTAGTTTTTTCTTGGTTCAACGACCCTTCCATATGAACATCAGTGCTACTGACTAGTTGTTGACCTTCAGCAGTATCTTCATCGTCTGAGACAACTTCAATAACACTGTCGTTTCCTTTGTCATTCTCTCCGTCTTCTTTGGCATTTACTAACCCTTTCATGACTTGAACGACGAGGTCGCACTTTGCAAAGTCATCGGCTGAGTAATCATTTGGACAGTTTTTACAGATTGGCTGAAGAGTATGTAAGTGCCTCCAAATATGTCGGCTGAACATTTCCTCTGTATCAGCTGTGACTTTACAGAAGTTACAAGCATAAGAGGATCCTGCCTTACGGAAAGAAATCCGACAGGTGTTTTGAGCACTCCCTTCAGTCAGATCAATCACAGTGGAACCCAACTTGTCATCAGTATTCAAATCTTTTCCTGGGATTTCAATTGATGTAGCGTTAGCCTTTTCTACTTCATTGTACTGTATTGATATACATTGACTCGTTGAAGCAGAATTCGAAGAAGGCATCTGCAACTGAGAGGAAACTTTACCTGAAACAGCTGGTAGCTGTTGAGATGTCACAACTAATTTTGGCTGCACGGTTGTCGGTATCTGAATCGGATTGGATTTTGGAGTTTGATTTCCAATGAAAATATTTGTAGAAGGATGAATAATCTTTGAGGTTGGCGTACTTGTGGTTGGAACCAGCATAAAGCGTGGTGAGGCAGTTGCTGGGCGTACAGGAGTACCTTGATTCATCACAATCATTTGTTGTCGAGGAGCATTGAAGGATGAGCTGTATGGACCCAAAATAGATACCATTCCAGGTGCTTTATTTGGTTGGATGACAGGAGGAGGGGGCTGTGTTGCCATCGTCACTGGAACAAGGATGAAGGAGGGAACATTAAGGCCTCCTGTAGAAGTTGTGGTGGTAGTAATTGGTATAGAAGAATTGCTAATGTTGGTCTTTGGCACTGATTGAGGACTAAATTGACTTGTAACTGGTTTAGCAGCCGGACCCTTTTCAGACAAAGTTTTCTCCGTCTTCTCTAGTGGTTCTAATACAAGAGGATCACTCTTTGGCGAGCTGAATTTGACAGAGTCCTTCCTCTGAAGAATTAAAGGTCGATCAGTTCTCTTTGGACGAGCAGTGTTGGGAACCGCTCCTGAAGGGCCGAGTGCGTTTTGATCCTTTGTTGTAGAAATAGACATGTTCCATATTTTCTTATCCAACATTCTTCCTATGAATGAGAATTTAGAATCCCTGTGCAGTGTTGCTATAATGTGACTAATCTTTTTGGATCCTCGTAATCCGCATTTTACCATTTCATCGCAATGTTTTGTACTGACGTGAGTTTCTATTGAAGCTTTACTCTCAAATGTTGCAACACATTTCAAACAGATATAGGGCTGAGCAAGCAGGTGAAAAGCCACATGCTCCTCAAAGTTCCGCACACTCTTCGTTGTATAAAGACATGCTTCACATCCATAGCGATCAGCTTTGTACTTGAAATTGATTTCTCCTTTAACCACTTTACGTTTGCTGCATATGACTGTATGAGAGTTAAGCATTGCTTCCTGGTCGGTTGTAAAAGAGCAATTTGAGCATCGCATCATACCAATCTTGGACCACATGTCATTTGCATTAGCTGTAGGCAACCTGACAGTGTCTTTCGCTGAACTGCCACTTTGGTTGCTATTTGGCTTTTCCAATTCAACAACACTATCTCCTTGCTTTTTTGATTCCACAGCTTTATCAGTTAACTCTTCAGAAGGAGCAACAACACTGTCTTTCTCCTTTTCTATCATATCTTCAGAATCAACATCTTTTTTTGGACCTTCCATTGTGTTTCCTGTCCCAACACTTGAGCTATTCTGAGCTGAATTGGTTTGCATAATGTTTGGTTCCTTTGTGTTGTCTAATCCATTTTGTGCTGGAAGTTTCACTATTCTTTCTACAGCGCTTTCAGAGTCTGATGAGTTTTCGGGAATTTCTGGATTACCTGAACTTGACATCTGCTTCTCCAACTCACGTAAGCTATTTTCAAGTCTTTCAAAATAATCCAATCCAATATCTTTACTCACTACTTCAATGACTGGTTCAGACTCTGATCCCTGACCTTCACTCGAGTCTTTATCTTTTTCATCAGTATCCATTTGTTCTACTGGCGTTTCGCCTACGTTTTCACCATCATTTATTATAACCTTATTTTCGTTTGATTGTATTGGCTCTTTTTTTGTTTCATTATCATCCTCCGCTGGCCCTTCTGTATTTCCTTCACTAGGTGTCAACTCATTTGCTTCTTCAAGGTCAATGACAAGATCAGCTTCTCCATCATCACACTCTGATGTGCTTCTTGGTTCAGACCTTAAAATGCTTTCATTTGGTTTTAGCTTATCTAACACACCAGGATTGTCTAGCTTACTCAGGGCCTGATTGGGCTGTGTTGCTGCAGGACTTGCAGGTTGTAAAGATGGGTCTGCTGCGCCAGTGTTGCTTTCAAAAACGACATCTGTTACTTCTGATACCGGTGATCCATCAACTTCATCTTGCTTTGAATCCACATTTGTGTCTTGAATTATGGGCCGACTAGCAATACCAGTAGCATCAGATGCGTCCATTTCACCAACTTCTGAAAAAACAAAAGTAATTTTGAATGTTTTATGATATTAAACTTATTTCATTGTAAAATACACATTTTGAATAAAGAATCTTCAATAAGTAGTATTTCTATGCCTACTAGCCCATATTAAGCAAAGCCTATCCATTACATTGTCGACTCTTTAGTCATTCTTTCCCTCCTGAAGGAACACCAACCTTTAACAAAACTACCTCCAAGCGTTAAGATACTCATTTGTACAGCTTGGTTTACTAAAATAGTAATTGTAAATTCAGGAAAAAACAACAGTATGTAACATACTATTTTACCATTAATGTAAATGCATCTGCTGTCAGTGTAGTGTAATTCTACAATAACTTCATACTTCATTGTATATCATTATTTTCAAAATGTTTACTCCATTTTTTCACACTTTTCTAAAATCTGTAATACTGAAACCAATATTGGGACTAAAACTGATTGTTAATTGTTTGGTAAAACATTTTTCATTTCTGCAGAATTAATCTGAAATAGATTATGTAGATTAAATTCAGAGGAAGTACTAGACTAAATACAGGTAAATGGTATTTCAATTTGTATGTCTGACTTGCCAGCTATGTTTCCTAAATGGCCTAACCCCTCTGCCCAAATAGGGGCTACCACTCATTTAGACAATCATGAGTCTCATTGGTCTTAAGCTTTCATGATCAAATTTGGTAAAAGCTCTTCACCCTATTTTACCTATTTGGCCCTGCTCTTTGCCTCTGGGATTATACCCTTGCCCAGAGGAACATTTACTTTAACTTCCCATATAACACTCCATTCCCCTCCCTCTATATATGGTGGTCATACACTCCACTTATGCTCAAAAGTGCTTCAAACCAAATTTAGTCGAAATCGCTTAGCAGTTAGTACTGTTAAAAAGTAAATAGATGACAATAATTATCAGAATCAAAACACCAAACACTCTCTGCCAAGGAAGAGCTCTGATTTAGAATGGCTCATTTTTTGTCAAAAAATCCCATCACATGAACAATGGTCCAAATTTGCAAATTTAAATATTGTCCATTCTAAATATCTTTTAACTTTTATTTCATTTCAACAATTCATTGAAATAAGATTTCACACTCAACGTGATTACGGTTAATAACATGCTAGCTGAAATTAATTAATTATATGTATGTTAATGATTTCTGAATGAATAAATACGGGTTTATATGAAAATATCAGATTAAATCTAGCTTTGAAACAGACATTTAACCCTTTCACCACTGTAGACCATAGTGGACTCATCCGTATCAATGTATGGTAGAGTCTACTGAAGTTACACAGGGGTGAAAGGGTTAACTGGCCTTATAAGAAAAGCATTGATTTGACATTTGACCTCTAGCTTTGACTTTGTGGGTACAGATAGATCTAGACCTGTATACAGTATGCAGCACACTGTCCATAACATGTGTACAACTAACATATATATGTGAAGGTACATCTAATAATGTTTGGTGTTTCAAATCTTATGGCCTGGGCAAACATTGTACTGTTTTGACCTTTGACCTCTTGCTTTGACCTTCACTTGGAAGTATAGTTAATCTTAAAGTTACATGTCTCACTGTCCTGCCATAATACCAATGAAGCTTCATTTAATAATCTAGACATTATGAAAAACTAAATGAAACTACTAATCAATAACCCTTTCACCACTGTAGATCATAATGGACTCATCCAGATCAATATATATATGGTAACGTCTACTAAAGTTACCTAGGGGTGAAAGGTTTAAAAGGTTGTGAATTTGTCAATGTACAATACTAATAAAATCCTAAACAGGATTCTCACTGTTGACTTTTTGTTTTTAACTCTGATCAAAATTTGTTGCTAAATTGATGACAAATTTATTCTATGAAAAGTAACAATGACTTCAACCTACACCCTGTCACCCTGAAACAAGGACTAATTGGAGGTCTTATCATACCTAATCATTGTAATTGAATGTTTGATTAACATCTACTATAAAGTGAAATTATTAAATTGATACAAGATACAAACATGAAACTATGTCCATTTCCAACCTCGTCATAAGGGGATAGTAATCTGAACATGTCATATTTTAAATTTTCAGCATTTTTTTTAAAATTCTCCGTAATGCAACGTCACCAATACAGAATTCTGCTATCTATATAAGAATGGTAGCTTATCTGAATGCTTATCCACTAGTGATACATTTACAAAATCTAGTCAGAATAATAAGAAGACAGGTGTATGAGGCTGTTGATCTACTGTACTAGTATTAAGTTTCATTCATTTGTGGTTTCTATTAAGAACAATCCCATTGGGAATATATTTCATGAAATCAGTATTAGTGGAAAAAATATTTACATATGCTTAATCTAGTTCAGTGCTCCAGATAACTTTTGAACATGTGGGTTTTTTCACCCCTACCTGTCCAAAGTGGAAGAGTGAAAACTAAAATTTTGAACCATGAAGTGCTGTAAAAATCCCCATTTTAAATGGAGATTGTTGTTTTGAAAGAGCCCCGATTCAATCGTCTGAAATATTCTCGCTCATGTTAGCGTTTGTAACAGGAGGCATTTGATTTGTCTAAGTGACTCATTGTAAGTGCATTATAATCTGCTAAATTGGACCCAGAGACTGACGCAATGTTACGGATTTGGCTTGCGTGAATTAGGCAAGTTATCATTTTTTTCTTTTGGCAAGTTATCATTTTTTTCTTTTGCGTAATTTGTGAATTATCGTGTGTGAATACACACTTACGCAAGCTATCTGGAGCACTGTAGCTAATATATCGTAGCATTTCTATTTAAGTTTGAAAATATTGAAAACAAGTACAAGAAGCGCTGAATAGTTTATTAATAATTCATAATAATCAGACAGCCAAGTGTGCATAGCTGTCCCTCATTTTGACCAAAATTTACCAATCTCCCTTGAAACTCCCTCATTCAAAACCAAGTTCACAGTGTCAGTTGTGTTTCACACACTTTCTTCCTCATTAGAAATGTGGAATGAGAGAGATCTCCCTCATTGGAGGTTTCAGAGATTGACACCTATAATTTTAGTTACCTGGAGTCAGCCTAGAATGATATGCAGTGTATCAGCTAATTAAACTGACAGTATTGTAAGTACTACATGTAATTGGCAATAAATTGGCTGTTACTAAATACAGATGCACATACAACTGACCTTGACAGAGACTGATTATTGTTCAAAATAAACCTAGATATCAACCAGATGTCACTTGCTGCATGTCATCATTAAGCCATTGACACAATGGTTCATTTTCAGGATTGTCTTCAATGCTTGAATGAGCAGCCTATATTTCATTGAAGAGTTCCAGTAAACAACTATCAGTATGATCAGGACAGATTACATGTTAACCCTTTCACCAGTGTAGACCATAAAGGATTCATCCAGATCAATGTATGGTAGAGTCTACTAAAGTCACAAAGGGTTGAAAGGGTTAACCCTTGACAGACCTGATAACAGCATACTTGTTGACTTTAATATAATACAGGTATATACATGCATGTTCAAAACACTGGGGACATTGATAGTGAATTCATCGTTTCAATTTACTTTTTTCTTTCGATATTCAGCCTGGTTTTAGATATATATGCATGTCACGTGATAGAGGGAACATGCATACTTTCAGAAAATTTCACACTGGTGCAGAGTTCAAGACTGCATCTGACAGCTGTTACAACAATATGCAAACACACTGGTGCAGAGTTCAAGACTGCATCTGACAGCTGTTACAACAATATGCAAACACACTGGTGCAGAGTTCAAGACTGCATCTGACAGCTGTTACAACAATATGCAAACACACTGGTGCAGAGTTCAAGACTGCATCTGACAGCTGTTACAACAATATGCAAACACACTGGTGCAGAGTTCAAGACTGCATCTGACAGCTGTTACAACAATATGCAAACACACTGGTGCAGAGTTCAAGACTGCATCTGACAGCTGTTACAACAATATGCAAACACACTGGTGCAGAGTTCAAGACTGCATCTGACAGCTGTTACAACAATATGCAAACACACTGGTGCAGAGTTCAAGACTGCATCTGACAGCTGTTACAACAATATGCAAACACACTGGTGCAGAGTTCAAGACTGCATGTGACAGCTGTTACAACAATATGCAAACACACTGGTGCAGAGTTCAAGACTGCATGTCTGACAATACTAGTCAGAAGATATTCTGTCCATGAAGGATGTGAACAAAAACATATGTCTACCCTAATTATCAGCCTATATTCTTTTCCCTTGCAAAATAAATGTACGCGAATAAAGTCAAAAACCATTAAATGATTTTTGTACAATTTTTGTGATTAAATTCATGTTATTAGAGAGGAACTGCCTACTATTAAATTACAAAATGCATATAATATTAATTGCAATTAGAAAGTTACGATGTGGAAAATCAATGCTATTGGTATAAATTAAAGAACAACCATGACAGCACACTGCACAGTGTCTGTAGGCGATGCATGTATATATACTAAAAGTTTCATCGAGACATCTTTTACTGTAAAAAAATAACTGCATTGACAAAATTTTCCTCAAAAATTTGCACTTGTCTGACCTTTGACCTTGAGGTCAAGGTCACAGTGACCCAATGACAGTGCATTGCACATCATCTCTGGATGATACAAGCATACTCCCAAGTTTCTTCTTGATATATTTAATTGTTGAAGCTACTAACTGGACAAAATGATCTTGATCAGAAAGTCCATGACACAGTGCACGTGGCATAACAACAGTGCACTGCACATTATCTGTAGGTGATGCATGTATACTGCAAGTTTCATCAAGACGTCATTAACATTTTGAAAGTTACAGCCCCAATAAAACTGCCCTTGAGGTCAAGATGACAGTGACCCAATGATCGCACTGCACATATCAAAACTGCCCTGAGGTCAAGACTGCACATCATCTGTAGGTGATGCATGTATACTGCAAGTTTCATCAACATTCAACTCAATATAATCAACATTTTAAAAGTTACAGCCCCAATAAAACTGCCCTTGAGGTCAAGGTAGCAGTGACCTAATGATCACACTGCACATATCCATGGGTGATGCAGATATGCTGAAAATGTTATCAACATATCTTCAACTGTTCAAAAGTAACAGCAGGGACAGGAGTTTCCTAAGCAAACTGCACTTATTGACCTCTGACCTTGAGGTCAATGTCACAGTGACCTTATGACAGTGCACTGCAAGTCGTCTGTGGGTGATGCCGATATGCTGCAAGTTTCATCGATACACCTTTTAAGTTACATCCCAGACAAGAAATTATTAGAAAAAGCGAAAGAAGAACCAGTTCTAAAACAACATGTCTCCCTTCATTTAAAGGAGAAACATAAATATTAAGATACATCAGATTGGAATTATGTTATATCATTATTCTACATATACACATTGTACATACAATGTACTAAATGTGTTGCAGCGTTTCAAGCTCAACTGGTCCCTTTGTCAAGTTATTACTGAGTGAGTGTTTTGTATTGTTTACATGTACAATGATGTGACAAATTTGCCAACTTTATACATCACTCGACTTCTGGAAATTTTGCCTATCGATAGATGTGAAACTTTAGTAATTTTCTTCCAAATTTGCTTAATCTCACATTTAGACAATGCTGGCTTATTGCTGATTTACTTTCATACCGAAAGTATGCATTACCCCTTTATGTAATATGTGACCCCCAAATCATGTGACTGTTGTTCTGGAGACTTGAATCTTGGAATTCATGTGTTCAAGTAAATAAAGCATTTGGAAGGTTTATATTTTATGAATTTTTCCAAATCCACAAAATATTCAAAATGAAATCCCAAATATATAAAGTTCTGCTTTCACATTCTTACTAGCCCGATAACCCTCTCAGGTATATGGCAACCAATGTTGCTGAAGAACTTGCTTGATTGTCATCATCTACTGAAATATTTACAAGATATTACTTTTACTCACATTTTGGTTTTTTCTTCTGTCTTTTCACCAAGTTGCCACAACATCAGCAGAGAGCAGTATACCCTTAGTCATCATCTGTAAAACATGAAATGATTGTTGTAAAAATCTGTAATTGTAATTTTAAGCAAGTACTCAATGCTATTTTTTTTTCTTTTTTTGGGGGGTCCCAAACAATCTATAACACTGACATCATATAGAAAATTCACCAAATTAATTTAAAACATGCCTTTAATATTTTGGGGCATCCGCTGAAATTGTATATGTCATTACATTGCACTTATTTTGAAATGGGCAAATTTTAGCAACAGGAAAAATATCACCACACTGGGCCTTTTGATTAAAAAAATAATAATATTCAAACATTTGATAATTTGAACAAACTGTGTTGCCTTTTACCCCAGCATGCTACTAGCCAAGTACCATAACCCTGGACATTTTTGTTATTGAGACGATGTTGTTCAATATTCTAATATATTTGACCCATGTAACCTTGAAAGTGGGTCAAGGTCATTCATTGAACAACCTTTGTTCACATGCATGACATCATTGTATGGTTGACATGATGTCATGCATGACATGTCATGTTTCAATGGGAAATTGCTAGTCTCAACCCTTGAATATCTCACATCGGAATAAGTGCGGATACACCTGTCCACGCTAATGAAATCCTCATTGACTTCTAGGGTGTAGATTTCCAGTCAAAACAAATTTATGCACCTTAGGGGTAAAATCAGCGAGTGATTTTGTCCTAAAGAAGGCCGCTCATAGTACAAAACCGGTCGACAAGCACCAAATAAATTTGAAGAAACCTACCCTGATGCTGTTGTGATTGATACATCTACATGATCTCATTTTGTTTATTTCATGTGTCAGAAGAAACATACAGTTTTAGGCAGTGATACTGAGATCCTTAACATACTGCTCTTTTCAAACATATTCTTGGTTGATTTATAAGTAATCAAAAAAATCTACAGATAATTGTACACGCAGGCATACACACATAGGGAGATATTAGCCAGGTGGCCTAGAACTAGTAGTTAGTGCCTGATAAGGCAGCTCCTGTGAATTCCTCAAAAATTGTATTGATTAATGTATATGCTAATTGTATTAACTCATTCACCCCTGAAATTTCATAATGGACTATTCCAACCTTTGAATTGGAGGAGTTCAAATGTGTCTACAGGGGTGAATGAGTTAATTGTATATCTATGCACTGTAAAGTGCTTTAGAGTGGCTTATGTTAGCTAGATAGGACACTATATCAAATGTTGTATATTATTATTATTATTATTACATTAGTGTCAACATTCACAGAAAACCCAAAGTGCACGTAGTGAATGAGAAGAGTCAGTATGCACTATACAGGTATGGGGGGAAAAATTCTACACCCTCGGATTGAATTTTCACATCCCCTCTACCTAAACTACCCTTTCACCACTGTAGACCATAATGGACTCATCCATATCAATGCATGGTAAACGTAGAGTCTACCAAAGTTATGTAGGGGTGAATGGGTTAACTCATTCACCCCTGAAATTTCATAATGAACTATTCCATCCTTTGATTTGGAAGAGTTCAAATGTGTCTACAGGGGTGAATGAGTTAAATATGACTGGTTATCAATTACCCGTGTTTGATGTGGTCCAATAAATCGTATCTTTGGGGAAAATGTTCTTTGTCCAAAATTTGTCGACGAAATCACCTTCAGACTGAGATTTGCCTGTCTATAATACGCATGTCGATTTATTCAATCCGTCTCTATTCAATGGCCGCAGCCACAAAGATCATCACAAGTCATTTTGACAATATCTTGTATAACAAAAATATCCTACCATTGAGGCTAATGTTTTTCTATGTGCACATCATATCATTGTAAGAACTGTTCAGAGTAAAACATTCCCTGGGTCAGAATGCAGCTTGGCCTTTGACAGACACCAATCATTGTCCACGCTATTATTTTACTTAATCACACATCAAGAGAACGACTCTCAACGTCTGCACAGACTTTATTGCTTTCAACAGAGCAAGCCGACTGTAAAAGACAAGCTGGTCGGGGCGGCTGCAGGGGACACTCTACAGCAGATCATGATCGGTCTAGAAATAGTAAAATCCTTCTAGCATTTAGACCAGAAATCAATAATGCGAGTTTTCTTCCTCTCTGTACATGTTATCTGAATACACCACATGGTCGACAGATCGACTTTACTTCCCCTACTTTCTCCGTTATGTTTTACTACATACGATGTTTAACTATATTATATCTGAAAACTCAACTTACTCAGTCAGGGTCTCAAAAATTCAGTGATATATCAACGAAAATTGTTACAAAAACGATAATCTTCACCAAAGGAAATGGATGTGTTCTTTTTCTATTAAAAAATGAGAGACATGAAACAATATAGATCTTATTCATAACCAATTACTGAAAAGTTAAAATCACTCTTTAACTATTTCATTGACACTCTCGAGCTCCCTCACATCTCACAAAATTAATTTTGTGATGACAGCTTCTCTGATTTATTTTTCTTTGTCAAAGTCTTATTTATAGAATGTAAAGCTTCAAAATGCCTTGCATCAAGTTATCTTGCATGGTACATATTTACTGTATTAATTCATACAACATTATAATAGTGAATTGTGAGTATATGGTATGTTATTTTGATTGCTTTATAGTAGGAATTCAAACCCAACCCCAACCCCCCAGCCCCATCGCTGTAGTGTATATACCCTAGGATTGATCATCATGAGAAAGAGTTTTTTAAATCATTTTTATTTCAAAGGAAATCATCAAGTGAAAATAAGATGAAAGATTAAAAGTTAAGAACAAATTAAGAAGTAATAATGATAAAACTTCTCTGTTGCAGTATCGTACTTCAGAAATATCTAAATGCTTCACAAATTCGTTTATGGTCTTTATGCCTAATTCTATACACCTCCATCTATAGTTTCAAAATATTTCTGCTGGAACCATTCACTCTTCTTTCATCTTTATCACCCTTTAAAGGATGGGGGTTCTGCCCCCTTCTGGTGCTCTTCCCCTGGCTTTAGCCTATGGCCATCAATATCGGCACCAAAAAGATCTATAGGACCTTCATAACTCTCTACCTCTTTCAACAAACTTTTCAACCACCTAGCTGTGAATCCTCGTACAGTGGTCCTTAACCCTTTCACCCCTATGTAACTTGAATGAACTCTACCATGCATGAATTTGGAAGAGTCCATTATGGTCTACAGTGGTGAAAGGGTTAATTGACCTTGGCTGTTGATAGGATGTTAAACCCTATAAACTAAATAAACCAAACCTCATACAGTAGTGAATTCAGTATTTCCCTACATTATCTGTTAGATCATCATCCACAAACCTATTACATGTTGAAAGTTCATAGCACTTTAATTCCATCACTTAAAGCCTTAGTTGTAAAGGGATATATATTTTTTGTTATGTTCGTCATCACATCAATGCACATGACCACCCTTGTTCCGTCAAAGGCAGCAGTCACAACGATCACCACTATGGATTTGACAATATCTTATATAACAAAAATATCCTGCCATAGAGGCTTTGGTCTATGTACTGCACATCACTCCAAGGACTGTTCAGAGTAAAATATTCCCTGGGTCAGAATACAACTCAGCCTTTTGGAACTTTTGGATCACTAACAATCTATGCTACAGCTTTACAGCAGCCTACTTAGTCTATACCGATATATTTGAAAATACAAGAGACTTAATTAAGGTCCCTAGTTTACTTCAATTTCCGAGTGTTATTTGCTGTTAATTTCCAGCACAAACAACCTCCTTCTGCTATAAAACTTCATAAGAATAAAGACTAGAGTGTACTTTTAATTCAGTGGTGTACAGAGAATCCATATAGAATTCAGTACTAGTTTAAGGTTTCCATCTCAAAATCAAAATGCAGGGCCCCCCCCCGGGGAGCAAGAATCAGAGAGCCGATGTGATAATATTTACTTAAGAAGAAAAGTAAGAATCAGCAGGACTGTCAGGTTTGTTTGAATGATTGGAGGGAGAGCAAACTGTGAGATCACTGATTTTTGTGGGGCTTTTAGTTTTGTGGAATTCATGTGAAATCTTCATCCACAAATTCATAGGTCCACGAAGTAATTAGTAATTTGATATAAAGCAATTCTCCATTCGAGTGCCAGAGAGCTCGAGGGTACTCATACAATTTCATGTACCCACAAAACAATGTTGTGTTAAGAAACCACGAAATTTGGGCCCTATGAAAATATCTGATTTTACAATACTTAAAATAGAATTTCTAGGGATAAATGCAGGAATTGAATGTTAGCATATTTTGTTTAAAGAGTGGGGCATGGATATCAATTATTACAAGTGGGGAAATCTAAACTGAATAAGGAAAAGAAAAAGCTGAAATGGGAGAAAATATTGCCGAAATTTGAGAGGGAATTGACCGTTATTCGGTCATAAAAAAGGCCCGTATATACCCATGATTTCTTATCATTTATGATTAACAGGGCCCAGTGGTTAAGGCGTCTGACATTCTTATGCCACTTTCCCTCCACCACTGGGTCGCGGGTTCCAGAACTACTTGGGGTGGGGCAGTCGCCAGGTAATGGCCATAGGTCGGAGGTTTTTCTCCGGGAACTTGGCGGCTTTCCTCCACCATCAAAACCTGGCACATCCTTAAATGACCATATATAGTTGTTACTAGGACGTAAAACGCGACCAACCAAACAAAATGATAAACAATGTTTTAGCCATTATAACTGATGCCTGGATGAGGATTGAAATAATTTGACCTATTACCCCTTGTTACTGTGACTTTGATCTTGGAGGAAGGGTTAGATTCAAATTTCAACAAAATCCAAAACTGGTGCGACAGATTCCAAGCCATCCAAATATCATGCTGTTCATCAGGCAATAAAATCCAGACTTTCCTCTATAGCTACCTACTATATAATTATAAGTTATCCTAGTTTTCAGTAACTACCCGAATATTATGGCTACTTTAACCCTTTCACCCCTAAGTTACTCTAGTAGACTCTACCATTCATTTATCTAGATGAGTCCATTGTGATTTACAGTGGTGAAAG